AAGTTAAATGGGCATTATTAGAGGTGTACAAGTTCTTTACAGTGATACAGTAAGTAAAAGCCGATCATTTGATTGGGTTTACAATTTTTTTCAATCACAGCATGTATATTTCTTATGTATGTTGAAAAAAAGTAATAAATAAATAAATAAATAAGATCCTTATTATTTAAAACAATTTTACCAAAATTAGCAAATCAACGAAAGATCTTTAAATTGTATTTTTTATTACTCACAAAGTTTAAAGTAGCTTTCCGTTTATTACCTTCCATAAAAGTTTATTATGAACTGGTATAAAATTACAGTCGGAAATTTGATGAAATAAAGAGTCTCACAAAAAATACAATCGTCAGTTTTGTTCAACAACGTCAGTTAAGATTCTGTTATTTTTTTTGTCCACAGAATCCATTAGAAGTAGATCTAGTAATCAATTTGCCTCAAGATGGAGTACGGCTGATATTTGATCCGGTCGTCCAAAGGCTTAAAATAATTGAAGTGTACAACATGAAGATGGTCAAGCTGAAATATTGCAGTATAACTTTCAACTCTCCAGAAACCTTGCCGTCTATCGAGCAGATCGAGCACTCATTTGGAGCCACGCATCCTGGCGTCTATGACAGTGACAAACAAGTTGGTTGATAATGACGGAAATATTTTTGTTTTGTTTTTATACTAAATTTATACTGAAAACCAAACGTGAATCAATACGTACCATTTGTTTTGGCAGGTTTTTGTGTTGAATTTTCGAGGCTTGTCGTTTTATTTCCCCATCGACTCAAAGTTCCAGCCCGGCTACGCGCACGGCTTGGGCTCACTTCAATTTCCCAATGGAACTTCCCCTCTCGTGGCCAAAACGGCCATCTACATGGGAAACATGGCTGCGGGAGGCTCCAACAGTGAAATGCACTGTTTAAAAACTTCGCCTCCACCTTTGCCTCTGGTAATTATTTTTTTTTTGCTTTTTGTATTAAAATATACAAGAATATTAATTCGGATTCTGTTGTTTTAGGTTTGCTACCACAATAATATTTATCTGGAAAAGGCCGAAGTTTTACGGGATAAGGCAAGAACCAGAGGCTTAAAATTACACCTGTTCACCGAAGGTAGCTCAACAAATCGAGTGGTACTCGAACCCAAAAGACACAATCTCACGAAAGAAGTAAGTATGACGTTTATCGCAGTAAAAGTTCAATTAAGTAAAATTAAGAATCAAGAATTAAGTAATTGTCTCACTGCCTTTACAAATCAGAAGTAGAAAGTACACGTGTACATTAGTTGTTATATTTAGTCAAAGACATACAATGGTTTTTATGTATCAATTGATGTAGATTCACGTTTTGTGTGTCGACATGTCGATAGAGATATTTTGAAAAATAGTTAATTGCACAAAAGATGAATGTATTAACAATTGTTTCTCAAAGGTATGGTTTGGCGATACGTGCGAAGACGTTCTTAGTGCTCTGGGGGCGCCATCACGTGTCTTCTTTAAAGCCGAGGACAAGATGAGGATTCACAGCCCTCACGCTCACAAAAGAGATAAAATCAGGCGGTCAGACTTCTTTTTCAACTATTTCACTTTGGGTTTGGTGAGTTATTTTTTTTTTCCCCCTTTTTTTGATTTAAAGATGTTCCTATGATTCTTGTGCTTATCAGATTGTTAAATCAATTACAGGATATCCTTTTCGATGCAAAAACTCAATGTGTCAAAAAATTCGTTCTACACACAAATTATCCTGGTCACTATAATTTCAACATATATCATCGTTGTGAATTCTCTCTCACCTTGCCATTAGAGACTAATAATACAGCAGAGTCCGGAAATCTCATTGATGTTTCTCCTTCCCCAGTAACCGTAAGTATTTTTTTTTTACTAAATGTAATAACGATAAGTATTAGTATAACAATAAAACTAACAATAATTGTAATCGGAACAACAATAAAAGTTACAGAAACGATAATAATTGTAATGATAATTATAAATTATAAGTGATGATGACAAGGTGATCTAAAAGATGACAAGACTAACAATTACTTAATTCACCGCCTAAAATACATTATTGATTCGTAATTAAATATTTTTCATAATTAAGAATTTAAATCGTGTCAGAAACTTTTAATCATGAACGAAAGTATTATTTTAAAATGATTCTTCGATTACAATTGTATTTTGTAATCTTGGCAAATTATTGTTATTCATGTATTATACAAGTAAAACTCTATCTGTATGTTATCAATCAAAAATTAATTGATCAATAATGTGTGGGAAGAGTTAGAAATTTTTTGACGCAATAAGAATCTTGATATATACGTTGTTGAAAGATTTAATTTTTTTGATAGTGAGATAAGGTTTGTCCACGTAAATAGTAAACATTTTTTATTTGCAATAGAAAAATTTAACTACTAATTACGTATTTTATTTTTAGTTAAAAAGTTTTTATCGACAACTTTCAAAACCTGTGATTACATTAATTTTTGCTATTACAAATTAGACGTATAATTTTAAATCAAAGTTTTTAATCCCAAATTACAACCATAATTTAAAAATTTTATGTGGAGTATGCTAATAATAATGTAAAATAGTTATCATGTGTTACGTGAGTTATTTTAAAAAGCTTATGTATAGAAATATGTATGTTATCGAATTATAAAACTGTTATGGTGATTTGTGATTAAAATTTCTTGAATAACTGTTTTTTAAATTATTTTTATACTTTTATTAAATATTCTTTACTGCTATTTTTGAATTTTTGAATATAAACATATTTTACAAATTGTATATGGCTGTATGCATATCGTACATTACATGGCTTTTAGTTATCTGGTTTATATACATTTATATTTATTACTTAAAAAAATTGTATCTTTTACCTACAATCGGTAGAGTGGTTTTCAATAGAAGGATATAGTCGGTATGTTTAATTTCCAATGAAAAAAAAAAAAAAAAAAAAAAAAAAAAAAAAAAAAAAAAAAAAAAAAAAAAAAAA